ACACACAGACACACACACACACACACACACACACACACACACACACACACGAAGACCATGAAAATTCTGTGCTAGGATGAAAATCAAATTCTGCATTCTCCAGTTCTAAATCACACAACTTCAGGCAAGAGCATAAAACCAAAGCACATTTTGGTTCACTCTATAACAAATCTTTTCAAACAAATTCCTTTGGCTCTAGCAAGATTTATGTACAAAAGCTAAAGGCTTCTGTCCTCCGGCCTTAACTAGAGGCATTTGGAATCCAGTTAAGTGGTTTGTTCCAGCTGTTTCAAGCTAAGATCCCAGGAGCTTGCCTCCTGGAGGCGCTTTAGACTTTACATATTTAAAACTAATAGAACGGGTCAGGCAGAGGACACACTCGAGGTCTGCATCTGATGAGAGCTGGAGGCAGAGGAGAGGACGAAAGAATCACGAATACTACGCAAGTGGCATCAAATACGACACATTTTTAAAAATGCATTTTAGAGCAATTACTGAAAACACATGGAACAGTACACATGTCAGCTGTGCTATCTAAATGCTGGCAAGCATCCATCCACTGACTTCACTGTTTTTAGGGAACCAGATGCTAGCACCCTCTTAGATGCTTCCTACCCACTTGCTACTGACAGACACTTTGGGGAAAAGTCTATGCTTAAGGTTCACTGTCCAATGTGAGTAGGGATTTGTTTTATACATTAGTTTCATCCTCTTAACTCCAGTAACCATCACCTCTGGAGTTTTTTGACATTTTATGTGCTCTGATAACCTTTCCCTTAATACTTAATAAACCTGCCTGACTTACATAGCTAGAGATCCAAGAACTGAGATGTTGAAAGTTTTATAAAACTGTCAACTTGCTAACACACATTCTGACTTCCACTTTAGGTAAGGAAATTATAGCTATGTTATAAATAAATTCAAATAAACATCCATCTATTCTTTGGAGGAATGCTTACTTAGTGACTCGGGGGCAGTGGCAATTCAAGTACATGTTATTCCTTTCAGCAAATGCTAAAATCAGTGTGCATACATCCGTAGCTACTCCCCGGTCCCTACATTCAATTACTATACAAGGCAGGAACTCCTCAATTGTAATCCCAAGACCATTTCTCACTCGCTGCAAGGAATGAACTAAGCTGCCTGAAATGAATTAGAGCACAAAGATACCTTGGCAATTGCACTACTGTGAAAAAAATAAATGAATGAATAATCTCTAGGTCTGGGGAGGACCACATATTGACTTCAGCTTCCTCAGTATTGTTGCTGCTCAAAAACGGACAAATTTCAGGAAAAGAAACACAAAGACCATTTCTGTTCTGTAAACAGTGGCAATTCAGAAGTGGCCCATTTTCAAATACTATATATCAGTTAAAAGCTTCCCTTCATGACAGACAACCATAACAAAGTTAGCTGAATGAAAAGCATAGGTCCAGATTTCATGGAGATAAGGGCTTCCACCTCCTACAGACACATGAAAGACTCGGCATTTCTTTCAGCTTGAGTTAAATGAGAGAAAACACAGTTTGTATTTCCAGAAGCCTAGTGGCATGTTTTCCAGTGAGTTTCTTGTTCTCATTTTACTATTTTAAGAGTGCTGGTCACTCCCAGAATTTCTGTAAGGCGGGATCTGGTTCCCGGTGGCTGACAGTTCTCGTGGCGGGATGCTTTCCCTAAAACAGTCTCCAAAAACTGTTTTCATTCGTATTTAGCTCCACTGCATCTATCTGCAAAATACCATTTCAATGGAGTCAGGCCAATAAAAGAATCAGCTTACTAGAATTTCAGTTGACTTTGTTAAAGGAAATTATTTTAAATTAATGTGGCTTCTGGACAGCTGCCGTTTCTGACCTCAGAACACATATTCCTTCTAATTTTTGCTGTGAACATTTGTTTATTTAAGTGAAATTCCAGCTCACGAATGTCAACCATAACGGAGTCTCAACCTTCCTGCCACTATTTTGTCCTTTGTCTAAACAAGGGCAGCCGCATGCCGCTGCATTAGCATGCGTGGCCACATCGTCCCCTTCAGTGAAGTCATCTATGTATTTTTGGTAAGATCTTTAACAACCTCCACACCCAGCCATGAAATAAAACAAGGCTGTTTTGTTTTCAGACAGGAACAATTTCGTCTCTGGTTTACTAGATGGCGCTCAAAATATTTTTCCATATGTTTTCAACAAAGAGAACTTGACATCAGTGTGGTTTACCTTGACCAGTGAATGTAGACTCTTTTCACCAAACATGTCCCAGAGGAAGGTCAGGTCCTCCTGGCTATCCACATGTGGCCGCAGCTGGGCGGGCAGAGTAGCCAACAGCTCATACAGACCTATAAAATGAAAATAAAACACAAATTGTAATCTTAGGGTGATCTCATTAATTTCACTGAAGGTGTATGTGTAAGTGACGGCTGGAACATGTCATTTTTACTGGATTTGTATTCTGGGCCATCAAGCAAAACAGTTCTCTCAAGAAGCAGAGGAAGTGTTTTGATTTTTAAATTCCAAAGAAGTATATATTAACAGGATAGCTTTTTTTTTTCCTTTCACACTTGTCAACATTTTACAGCCATGCACGTTTACATAAACCAAGACAGAAAATGTGTACAGTTCTCAGAAGGAAGGAAGGAAGGAAGGAAGGAAGGAAGGAAGGAAGGAAAGAAAGAAAGAAAGAAAGAAAGAAAGAAAGAAAGAAAGAAAGAAAGAAAGAAAGAAAGAGAGAGGAAGGAAGGAAAGGCATGCATTCCTTTCCTTAACTGTTACTGCATTCCCCTCTTATTAGCCATGGAGTGGAATGAGTCATGAGGAGGAAAAACTTCCTTAGGAGAAAATGGATATAGTGATCTCAAAAGAGGCTTTGTAGTTTGCAAAGAATTTCTAATAACACAAAGCTTCAGAAGATTTGCATTATCTAACATGCAAATAAAGTTCTGCCATGTAGGACAAAATCAATCCCACATGGTGATTCACAGGCTATTCCACCACTGTGGACTATGGCTTTTTCCAAAAGGACTGTGCAGAATGTAGTTTACGTCTGCAGTGTATGTAACTTATTTGCTTCCCCTCGGGTGGCAGATGCAGGTTGCTGTGGCATGCCTGGCAGAGATGCTCAGGCAGACAGAAGGGCAGTGTTCCCCACAGGAGCCCACCACAGGAGCCATCCATCTCAGTCGAAAGCAGCCAGACTCCAGTCCAAGAACTGTTGTAGCGGGGTTTGCCCATGACTCTTGAGGGAGGTGACCTGGCAGAAGTCAGGATCAGATCCCAGCACATGGTGCATTCTCTAGCAGGATTACATGAGGTAAAAAGGACAAGATTCCTTTTATTTCTGCCTGCTTCTACAAAAACACTGAGACCTCCTGAGGAGCAACACACAGGGTTGTTATCCCTGGTCTGAGTAAGGGCTGCTGTTCATCATAGGGACAGCTTTACAAGACATTTAACAAGCAAAGAACCGTAAATTATGGACTCTCAATTGGTGATTGGTGTATCTATTATCTTCTAACACATATCAGTGCTAATTTACAGGCAAATACATGAGGCACCACTGTAAAGCCAGATATGTAACTGTGGATATCCGATTGAATCCAAACATCCCTGGGGCTGTATTTAGCCAAAAATAGTCATAAGAATAACCCTCAATTAGACTATGAAAAAAATCCAATTATATTTCTAAGTATTTGTGATATTTTTATATTAGTTCTCTTTAAAATCTGGCACTTAGCCTAAACCAGCTCTTCTTTACAATAGAACAAAGACTTTAAAATATCTCAGCTTAACTCCACCTACAATACAGTACTCACTCACCCTCCCTCCCGTCCTAACTCCCATGGTCATGTCAAAGACATAAAATGTAAATTTATGTAAAAAGAGGGAATTTTTTCTACTGATTTTGAGTTGTAAAAAAAATTACCTGTTCCTAATTTGAACTAATAAAATAAAAAATAAAAAATTATCTGTTCTTGGAAAAATTACCAGGTTTAATTAAGTTTAGTAAACCAATTTTGATCTAACTTACATGGTATAATTCCTAGGAAGGTCACATAAGTCGATACAAGCCTGGTGTGTGCTAAGTATACAATATCTCATATGCAACTCACCGAGATCTAGCTACTAATTATTATTATTACTGAAAAACCAAGATAGATCAATATTTGATCCCCATGTCTACAATGAAAGCATTTTGTGTGATTTATCTAACCCTTATTTCCTTTGTGTTTAGACAAACGGGGGCAGGGGTCAATGTCATCACAAGGGAACCCTCAGAAACAACTAACCTGGGCTCCTGGAAACTCACAGACTGTGGACTGACACCTAAGGAGCCCTCATGGGACCGAGCTAGGCCCTCCACATATGTGTGACAGTTGTTTAGCTTCATCTACTTGTAGGACTCCCAGCAGTGCAAGCAGGGCCTGTCCCTGATGCTTTGGCTGGCTTTTGGAAATCTATTCCCCATACTAGGTTGCCTTTCCCAGCCTTAATATGAGGAGAGGAGTTTAGTCCTATCTCAACTTGATATGCCATGCTTTGTAGACACCCATGGGAGGCCTGCCCCTTTCTGAACAGAAATAGAGGAGGAGTGGATTGGATGGGATCGAGGGAGAAGAAGGGAAGAGAGTGGGAAGACAGGAGGGAGGGGAAACTGTAGTCAGGATATAAAATGAATGAATAAATTTAATTTAAAGAATGGTAAGTTGTATATGTAAAACTAAACATACAAATACATAAAAGTGAACAGAAAACTGGTGAATCTAAGTATGGGAACTCTCTCTTCACATTGCTATAGTAGAATGCCACAGACTGGATAATTAATAAACAATGCAAGTTTATTTGGGACCCCAACATGAAGGTGAGGCACCCTGGGAGTACATCTGTACTATGTCATCCCATGGTAGGGAACAGAAAAGTGAGAGAGAGCAATGAGCAAGAGGTAACAGATTGCTTGTTCATAACAAGCTCACTCCTGCACATGGGACATTAACTCATGCATGAGGGATGAACCCTACTGGACTGGCCTCCTATAAAAGGCCCGCTTCCCTCATACTGTTACCCCTAGAACTAAACTCACAGAACATGATATTTGAGGAATAAATTTAAATCATAGCAGGTTAGGTCAGTGACAATTTCCTGGCTGCCACACTCTGTTGAGATGCTAACACTGGAAGGAAGAGGGTGATGTACAAGTCTATATCATTTCTTAAAACAACATGTGACTCTATAGTGATCTCAAAATAAAAATGGCAATAAAAATACTCTAAGATCAAATGGTTGTCTTAAAATTTCAATGGAACCATGGGGCTCTGAGCCCAATGCACTTGGTATAAAATAACATTCTTTCCTTGATGCATCTTCCTCTAGAATAAAATGCCACTGCATTCCAATGGTTCAGAGTCAAAACAGCTTTAGCGGGCATTCCAAATGGATACAACATCATGTCCCTTTACACATGGAAAGTGTTAATTCCACACAAGTATTGTTTATATTTTGTGAAACACACCATTTTATACTCCAAGTTTTAAAAAATAATTTTCCTGCTAGCAAAGGCTCATAAACCTGAGTTTTCTGCCTTCTCTAGCATTACGCAATCCTTACTGATAATGTCACCACCACAATCTGTCATTCCAGTGACAACCACAGTCCCTTCAACTACCTGATCTGGAGCCATAAACAAGGCTGGAAGAGAAAGGCTAGTGTAAACCATAAATTAAAGGCCTGGTGGCAGAGCCAAGAGGCCAGAGATGCACAGTCTCAAAGAAGGCAATGTAGGCTCTAAAAGTCACCAGTCCATGAGCAAAGCGGAGTCTCTATCCTGACACGGGACTGAACACACACCTATAGTCTTGTCCCAATGGTGAAGAAAGAATACTCATGAAGGCCAACTAAATGTTTTCAGAATTAGAGATTTAGAGGGCACATCTTTAATTTTTATCTCAACCTATTCGTAGTTTCTGAGCAAAAACTGGCATGATAAAATTTACCCTACACTCTGAATTCATGCAAGCTCAACAAGTTATTCTAACAAACAATTGCAGCAGAGATGGCTGATGTGCTCTGAAGTACAAAGCTGAAAGGGCTGCTGTCCCCTGTGGTCGACAGCGCAGCCAACAGGGGAAGTGTAAGGGAAAGGAGGGTCAACTCCTGTCAAGGAAGAAGAAATCCCTGAGTTAGGTGTTTATGATTTGAGTCCTCTCCTCCTCCCCAAAGCACGTGTTGGTAATTCATCAATGTAGTATGTTGGGAGGTAAAACTTAGATGTGACTCGGCCATGAAGACACTGCCTGAAGGAATTAGCAATATCATCTATGTCAGTTCCTTACATGGTAATTGCAAATTCATTACAAAAAGCAAGTTCAGCCTCTCCTTTGCTCCCCCTTCTCTCCCTCGTTCTCCTCCCTCCCACCATCACATGCCTCATGCTGCCCCACACTACAGCATCAATGCTCAACTAGTTCTTTAGAACCATGAGAGGATAAATTTCTTCTTCTTGTGAATTAGTAAGCCCAACACTTGGTTGCCCTTATCCAAGATCCCTGTGTGAAATCATGGATAGTATATATAAACGTGTACACTACCCCACCAATTCCTATGCATACTTTTGTGCCTTGGGGTGAGTATTACATAAAATAAAGGTTACATGATGGAGACAAACACCATGATGCTGAGACAGTGGATCCTATAAGTAAGGCCAAATAAATGATTAAAGGGCAGGTGGCATACACAGTGTGGATACACTGGACAAAGGGCTAATTCACACTCCAGGTGGGATGCTGCAAAATTTCATCACCCTACTCAAGAAGGTGCACAATTTAAAGCTTATGAGTTGTTTATTTCTGGAATTTTCCATTTAATATTCTCAGACCACAGTTAATGGCAGATAATGGAAACTACAGAAAGCAAAGTCCTTGGAAACTACTATACTCTGTTTGGCAGCACAAAATGGGCTAAGCCTTTTTAAAGAAAATTCCTAAGAATCGACGTTTACTGAGGTCCTATGTTCAGATCACTACACTAGCTCCCCGAATTGAGGAAACACTCTCTCCCTCTAGCATTCTTATGATCTTTGATGGTGTATGAGACAGACTGAGGACAGACAGATAGGTGGGCTCACCAAACATGAAACAGTCATAAATATAAGAATCTCCTCTTTTTCCAATACAATATGAACCCAAAATATGTCTTCTAAGTAAACAAATATACAATTAAGGTGCAATATGCATGTACACATATAAAATTATAAGTTGTAATTATGACAATTAGTTAAACATCAAATTCACTTTTTGCTATACAGATAAAACGTTCATGCCTTTCTATGACATCTAACTTCTAATTT